GGAATGCCACCAGTCAGTTCCCTCTGTCCTCTGCCTCCCTGCATTTTTGTGTGTTGGAGGATATTAGAATATATTTTGTCTGAATTAACCAGGTTGATATTTAGTGCAAGATATTAGTTCCTCCAGATTGTCTCACAGCTTGAACCTTTGTTATACCATGTTCTGTGCATTTTCCAGGGTTCTTTGAGACAATTACCATATTAATACATTTTAAAACAGTCACTGACTGGGAAGATGCCAAGTGACTAAATGGTCTGCTTATATACAGGCATTGCATTCTCAGTTGTTAGTTTATATTGTTTAGTAAAGTATACATTTAGGTGCAGCTTTTCCATAGCAACAATCTCTGTACTAGGTACTTGGGAATGATGGATGTATGTGTGTTTTATACAATTCAAATTAAAATACTGCTGGTTGCCATACTGCTGTAACAGCATACAAGTACCTGAGAGTCCAAAACAGCTTCATTCTGTCAACATCTTTTTTTTCTTTTTTTTTTTTCCCTGTATTCTGTACTTAAAATTTCCAGAAATACTTTCAAGGTATAGCATATCCCTATACAGAATTACATTTAATATAGATTGCATTAAAATGGGAATCATTAGCTTTTCTGTATTTTATATCCATTTCTACAAAAGGCTTTTTTCTTAGCATATCCTTGCGTAAGTAACTAATATATTAATCCAGGATATCGTTTGTTTTACACTTATTCCAGTACTTTTTATACTGAGGATAGTGTAAATAGCCAGTTATCCCTAGTGTGAAAGCTAATCTGCTGTAGACTCAAAGATCTTACGAGTCACAGAGTTAAGGAAGAGGTGAATTGTAGTCTGTCTTTGCTTTAAGCTGTAGAGCAGCAAAAAGCAGAAGCAGCCGGCAGAGTGACATGGCCAAGGAGAGCTGAAAGATGTTGCATGATGTTCGGCAGGGTCCTCTCATTGCCTGCATTGAGTTTTAAAGCTGTCAGTCATGATGCTGAGTCTCTTCCCCAGTACCAAGCGGTCTCTGGCTCACTGGCTTCATTTAAAGTTCCCTCTCCAGTCTTACTGAGCCTGATCTGGTGCATTAAAAAGTCTAGCTGGATTCCTTGTTGAAGAAACTCGGTTTTGCTCAGTGTTGAGCTGCAGCTTGGAAAGCTGCTTCACCTTGTGGCATGTTGTAGCTGGCCCTCCTTAAACCTTGGAGAACTGAAGTGACATCTTGGGCCCTGGGATTACATAGTACATGTGTATAACGAGATTTCAACACACATTGGAGGTTATCAAAACCTCAAACGTCTTTTAATATTTGTAGGATTTTCCTAGTCACATCAATGAGGACTTTCCTCGTTACATCAGTATAGGGTTTTTTAGCAGGGCCAAAACACCTGTAGCACTGTGTCTGCTATAGAAAGCAAAGCTGGTACTCCCTATAATTCCAGTTAGTAACTGGAATTTGATAAGGCAGGGCATGTCAGAAGAAATGACTAAAACTTGCCTTGTATTTATTCCAGGTGAAAAAAAAATTTAGCTGAAATAGACATGTTTTTTTTTCTTTTTAACACAGTCCTAATGACTGCTCAAGTTACTGATGGCTGAGGATGCTAGAACACCAGACCTTTTAAGAGGCTGCTTGTTTCATCAGTGTCCCATAGAGTGCAAATTCCACACTTAACAACAGTTTCTGCTTTCCTGCAACAGCCGGTGGTGGTGATCCTTTAAGAGTTGCTTGTTGAGCAGCTGCCAGAGCAGGGGCTCATGTATTACTGCCAGGAGATGCTTCTTGTCAGCAGTGACTAAGGATTGTGGATTATGGTATCAAAAAGCAGAAAGAGGAATTTAACAGGGCTGTGTATTGATAACACGGATGTCCACTTTGTCACTGCTTTTTAATATATACACTAAAGGCAAGGCAGAAATCTCAGCAATGTGTGAGCTGGAAAGGGCACGACAGGAAATCCTTTAAAAGATGGCAAAATAGCTGGAAGTCCAACAAAGCCCCATCGTGCTGCTGTTGCCATCTGAAGAAGCCTCATTTAAATTATTAAGATGGCTCAGATGATGGACTCACTTATCTGTGGGCGCTGTATTACACAGTGTTTAGGTTTGCTGCTTGTACCCATTGGATAGCTTTGAGATGGGTGATACCTATACACTGGCTTACTCGGGAGGACAGCATGGGTGAGAGGTTCCCACATCTAATTGTTCGTCTGTCCCAGCCCTGCTGTTCACACACCCGTAACTCTGCTGGTGCAGAACTTCATGGGGCTGCACTTTAAACGGGTTTGCTAAAATTACCCAAGTTCAAAGAAGCCCTTCCCTGCCTTCCTCCTGCGTTCAACGAGCAGCCCAGGAGTGGGTGTAGGATCTTTTTGAATTCACTTCTCCACTGAAGGCAGCCTCTCCTGGACATAAAGCCCTATTTTTCTTTTTCGTGTCATATATTCCTTTCCTTTTCAAAGTCGATGCTCTGTCTTTGAGGGTGGTACGTCCTTGTGTTATTTCTGTTTCCTGTGACCTTTGGGATTCTGTGCCAATTTTAACACCAAAAATTAAGTGAAGCAGAGCTAGCCTGAACTTATCCATGGAAGTTGCAGGCCAGTAAGTTCTTTCTTTGCTTAGATCAGGTGTGCCTGTACTAAGCAAAGAAATTATTAGTGAGAAATTCATGTGGCTTCTGCAACCAACGTAACGGCATCAATTATGTATCACTATGTTTTAGGCCTCCTGAAGCATTTATCCTGTAGTGATGAGCACTGTTGTTGGGAGCAGGGGCTCTTGGGTAAGGTCCAAATGTGTGGCATTGCGTTATGGATTGTGTTAGGAGGTTTGTTTCAACGTTTGTGGCATCCTCACACCAAAGAGAAGCCATTGAGACTGCCCCAGGTCAGGCAGACCTGAGCGAAAAGACCTGCTGAGTTGGTCTCAATGCTTCATCTCTGGTGTGTAATCATATTAGTTATTGCAATAAGTAATGCTTATAAAACAACTTGGTACAGCTGTTTTGTTTGGGCATGAGGCATTGTAGAAGTCTTACAAGCCTAAAGCGTTCCAGTCAACAACAACAACTTCAGTCCTTTTTTCATGTAGATAAGGTTATCAAGAACTGTCGTATTAAGAACACAGTATGTGCCAAAGCATCCCGCTTATTTACTCGATTTATCAGTTTCGTAAAAATTTCAGTTGCCCCATTTTTAATACCTTCTGCCCCGATCTCTTTATTGAACATGTCAGTGATATTGCAAACAGCCAAATTGGGACCTACTGAATTCTGTAATGCTTGGCACTCTGTAAACAAAGGAAGAGTGAGGTATAATTGTGTTTACGTTGAATTGGTTATAGTTTGTTTTCTAATATATGTAAATTAGGTATGAGTCATTAACCCTCACTTGTGCGCTGCTGTATATATGGAATAATTTAAAGATGATTTTGAAAGCCTGCAGAAAAAAATCGAAATAATTAAATCCATGTTCTTTCTTTTAAAGCAACTGGAAGAAAAACTGAAAGGACAGGCTGATTATGAAGAGGTTAAGAAAGAATTAAAGTAAGTATTAAATGCTTACATAATTTTTTCACAAACTCTAGTTTAACAATGCTTGTTAAATGAAGCCGCAAATCTGTGTTCTTGGAACAATAAAGAATTCAGTCAAAACCACAGAGACGGAGAAATTGGGAATATTGGCAGAAATTGCGTCTAGAACCAGTGCAACTGCTGTATCTGAGAGTACTCCTTTTTGTTGCAGCAGAGTATTGTAATGGCAAATAATTCAAGTGTCCATGAAGAAAAGGTGCTAAAACTATCATCCACCAAGGGTAAAAAGTTTGAAAATCTGTGGTATTTTAGGTGGACCACTCTTTAAAAATCCCCAGCCAACAGCTGAATGTAATGTGGACCAAGAATTGAATGCAGGGCCTTTGACCATAATACCTTTTCTGTGATTTTGCCAGCCAGTGTTCAGCACTTACCATTTTAATGCTGAGCTTGTTTCACTGTATATTTTTGCTAATATATTGTGGTTTTAAACTAAAGCCACAAACAGCCTCTTCCTATTTCAAGGGATTTTTTTTAAGATACTTAAAAGAGCCTCATTTTAAACTATAACAAGATAAGCTGTCAGGTTCAGAAGAGAAGTTTTTTGACTGGAAATATGTTTAGTGTCAAGGTTTAAATAACTGCAAGAAACTCCATCTCTCCTTTCATCATTCTGGCATTTTTGTGTGTATTTTAAGAAGACTGAAAAAATGTTACCTTGTTTAATGAGGTCTTTCAGATGAGGCTGGTAATCACGTGCTTTTGTTTACACATCCCTTGAGAATATGGAAAGCAGGTTTGGTTTTGCAAGCCCAATGACTGCCCAGCCCCTGGTGCTATTATATTCAAGCCACACTGGCTGCGGTTCTGGTTCACTGCCAGCTGCAGCACACCCTGATGTAGGTATATAGTTTCAGTCAAGTGAAATGAGTTGACCATTTCTTTGGTCATTATAGCTGGATATTAACTGGTCTCAAAAAAGGGTCATCATTTTAGTGATACGGGTAAATACGTCCGTGTTCTCTCCTGAGTTAAGGAAACTCGGCTACAGATTTCAGCTGGTTTATGCCCTCATATGTAAAGTCGTGAATAGGAGTTAGGCCACAACCTTCCAATTTGGTAATTTGAGTTACTAAATGTGAATGTGCCAAAACACCAAATGAGTTTTAAATCCTACCTGGTTTAATACCTTTATTTTAGATACAAAACTCATTTAGATCCCTGTATTCCTGGTGGTAATGCCTTTTTTTTTTTTTTTTTTTTTTTACAACACCGACTTATATGAGGGGAGGGATGGGAAGGCAGATAAGAGGTCCAGGAGAAGCCATGACATAGGAGTATTCATATGGTGCTTCTGCATGTTCCTGTTATTTCGAGATGAGCCTGCAGTGAAATAGATGGGAGAATCTCCTGGAAGTGGCCTTTGTTGGGTGCGAGTAATTAACTCTGTTTTCCTGGCTGTTACAGCATTTATATCGCCTAATTTGTGGGTAACATTTTTTTTCTGGGCAGGCTGACTTTGGAGGAACAGCCAGCTAGCTTGTAGGTGGCCTGGGGTCCACGCACCATCCTGCTGGATGGTGTGGGGGGTTAAGACCCTCTGTGAGAGCTCTGAAGATGTTTGTTTTTTTTTTTTTTTTTTTTTTTTTTTTTTTTTTTACAACACCGACTTATATGAGGGGAGGGATGGGAAGGCAGATAAGAGGTCCAGGAGAAGCCATGACATAGGAGTATTCATATGGTGCTTCTGCATGTTCCTGTTATTTCGAGATGAGCCTGCAGTGAAATAGATGGGAGAATCTCCTGGAAGTGGCCTTTGTTGGGTGCGAGTAATTAACTCTGTTTTCCTGGCTGTTACAGCATTTATATCGCCTAATTTGTGGGTAACATTTTTTTTCTGGGCAGGCTGACTTTGGAGGAACAGCCAGCTAGCTTGTAGGTGGCCTGGGGTCCACGCACCATCCTGCTGGATGGTGTGGGGGGTTAAGACCCTCTGTGAGAGCTCTGAAGATGTTTGCAATGCTGCATCGTCACAGCAGCTCATTCACGCCACCCTCTCTGCTCCCATCTGGTGCAAAAGATGTGCCAAAATCTAAATGTACATCACCTGATAGTGACAGTCTGATCTGAAGTGAAACTCTGAAAAGTCTATTGCTGTAAATCTGGTATCCCTTAGACTGAATCCTACTGTGCCTGCCTTTGTGCCCTGAAACACTGACAAAAATGAGCTGCTTATAACGCACATATGCACCAAGAAAAGTGATATCTTGTCAGTAAGGAAGAAAGAGCATAAACTTCTCAGTTGTTTTGGCACTGATGTACTTTCCTTAATCCTCTCAAGGATGCCTTAGAGGCATTCTAGGCTGAGGGATCTCAATATCAGCCAACTTCTAACCTTGGAGGAACTTAACTGGGTCCACGTCAAGATCTGGGATGGGAGCTTTCCTTGCTTTCTGTATTGGCTTTTGTGCCAAATGGCTTCTAAACCTATTTTTAAGATCTGAGAGCTCTGTGTGTCCTTTCAGTTCCCTCTCGAGTAATACGACAGTGCTAACCCTCCTGCCTTTGCAGTCGGGATCATACGAACAGAAAGTCGAGCTGTCCCAATGCACGCTTTGCTTTAGAGCAAGATCTTTCAAGTAGTCTTAGATGTGCAGATTCAAGTCACAAGATCATTGCTTTAAAAAGCAGATAACTGATCTTGAGCAGCAGATTGAGTTGAGATCTCATGGGCAAAGATATTCCTGGAATCCAAAGGGGAAACATTTTGCTTTCTTCATATTCCTGAGGAAAATGTCTCTTTTGTGACACATTTGGAGAGTCATTTTTGATAAGTTTAACTTTTACATTTTTTGAAAAAATGAACCTGCTGTAGTGAATATTCCTCCACGGGCAATTTGAGATACCATCAACTTGGTTTTTAGTATATTTTGGGTTCTAAGTGTATAGGAAATTACCTGTGAAATTGCCAGAGGGCTATTTCAGGTAGCAAAGAATCCACTTTAAGTAGGCAGGGGTCAGTAAGTTTCCAGCTGAGTTTTAAATACACATGCCTGCTCCAAGCTCACTGAAAAATGCAGCTGCTGCAAGGTTCAGGATCCTTTTTGAAGGTCCCAGCTGGCAGCAGATGCTCGGCACCAAAGTGCATTGGTAGAGCAGCCTGTGCAAGCGGAGGGCACAACACGATCAGGGCTTCAAAGCCAGACTTTTGGTGCGGAGAACCTGATAAACACACTAAATAACGTTCAGGCTTATTTTGCGCTTCCGACTGGTTCCAGTCTGGTTCTGTAGGCAGCACGGTAGAGGTCAGAGCACATCACAACCGCTCCTTCGAGAGCGTGCAGCTTCTTTTGGTTTAGTCTCATCCAGAAGGAACGCGGTTGATATGCTCCAGGACTGCTCTGCATGGCAAACCGAAGTGGGGTAAGTGGGGATTACTGGGAGACCTGCGTCGCAAGGGTACTGCTAATCTGAACTGAAATGGGAGAAACACCTGTGATTTGCCACGGGAAGTTTGCCACATCATAATTTGCTATTACAAATTGGGTTTTTTTACGTTCAGATAGGTCTCCTTATTTGACCGTCATGAGGACATATATTACTACTTGCTGTCCTTTCAGAGGCTGTACCCTGCAGAATCCATGGGAGGATGAAAACAGTTACCTACCAGTGACTGGGGTTTTCCCTAGATGAGTCTCTGTATATTTATCTCCCCCAGCACCTTGGAGTCCTGGTAGACAGAGCTGTGCCCCTGAAGAGGTGTCCCAAGGAACACTTGCTTTCAGCAGTGATTAGCAACCTGTATATATGCCTGTATATATCTGCCTGTCATGTCAGTATAATGTCAGGACCTTTAAGAACTTGAGCCGTTAATGCACAACCTCTCTCCTTCACTGGCATGACTCCATTAGCAGCAGAAACGAGGCACTTTTGCATGCGGGTGAGCTGCTGTGCCCACTTAAAGCAGTCTTAACAGCGTTACTTTATGTGCTTGTGCATTGGATGATGGCTGTAATCTACAGCAATTTCTGCTGGCAAGAGGTGTCATCCAATGATGCTGTATGAAAAAATGATGGCCAGAATTTTGTGATTTTATTCATTATTGTATTTGTAGGCGTGCCTGTCAGAATTAACACTGCATGCAGTGAGTAGGCACAGATGCAAAATACATGAGGTTTCTGTCTCGGAATGATTTTTTTTTTTCTTGGATTTGCTATGACTTTGTGCGATCTTGAATGAGTCACTGAGGCCACTGATTTCCAGAGTGCCACTTACTGGACATCTAATTCCGGATTAATGGATGGACAGATTTATAGAGGAGCTGGACGCCACATGGTCTGCAGCAGTTGATGAGTGCTGGGTGCCTGGCTGACTCCTCGTGGCATCCAGAACTAGTCCCTACGTGTTAATACTGGCCTTCTGCTTTTTTTGACTCAGTTTCCACATTTAATACATGGTTAAACATATTCTCCCTGCTTCACAAAGTTCCTGGTGCTTTATACATGAAAAATGCTGTATAAACACTATCTATATCTGTTTATGTATTTTTCTTCAACAAATGAATGTCATCTTTGTACAATGAGAAGCCGAAATCATTTATTGCTTCAGTCTGAGGAACTTAACGTCCTGTCTGCAGCAGGCCTATTTAAAAAAATTTATAAGACAAAGCCTAGTAATAAGTTTGTATTCCTGTAAGATTCTCGTTTGCCAGACGATACAACTTTAAATGAAAGACTTTGAAGGGAGACATCCTTTGACCGCTCAGTATTTATATAAAATATTGACAATGAGACTATCAGATTCTTCTCTTAATGTACTTATAAATATTTGGATCTTTCATATTTCTTAAGAAATATTGTGCCATCGTGTCTTCCCCTTGCCATAGAACTAGGAGGTTATTAAAATGAAAAACTGCCTTTTAGCCTGTAGTGTCTTGGTTGGGAAGATTATTTGTGCATATTTTCCTTGATATGTGAGCTGGTGTATATTATATAAAGTACTGTAACTGTGGTGGTGATTCCCCTGTTTTGTTGCTTTGCTACAACTTTTTCATTCCCTTCAAGCTTCACAGATAAATTTATATCGCTTCTGACAGCTTAAAATGTTATATACTTATTAACCTTTAAATTTACGCTTTAAACTGGCCTGGTGGGATTGCATATGGAATGATTTAGATGACGCTCGAGAAAATTTTCTTATCCAATAACTAGTTTGAATAGTTATTCTATATTCATTATGAGTCTGTGTTACTGCAAGGAAAGTTGTTATCACTTGTAGTGTTGCTGGAGAGTAGGAAATGATAATGTTAATGCTCATTAGTGCAGTTGTTATGAAAAGAAGAAATAGAAAATAATTTTTTTTCTGCCTTCCACAGTATATTGAAATCCATGGAGTTTGCACCATCTGAAAGCTCTGGTGCGCAGGTACTGAACCTACTTTTGTTTTCTTAATTACTTCAGCAGTTCAGTTAATTAACAAAAATTTTGTCTTGCAATTTGTTGGTGATGGCATGGAGAATTTCCTGTTGATGTTGAGACATATGGGTTGATCATTGTTTTCCTGATGTTTTCTTATGTAAAAAAGCTGAACTGAACATTTTTTGCCTATTAATTTCTTTCAACTGGTCAAGGACAAAGAGTGACGTTTCAGCTGTGCTGGAGTGGATAACCATAATGTTGTGAAGTTGAGTCTTTTGAAGATACCAGAGTCAGTGTACAGCTACGCTGAGATGTGCATGTTCTTGTACTGACAGTACGCTGAGCAAGGATTTTAGCATTTTTAAGTCTTTGTTAGCCTTGAAAATAATGTTCACAAAAGAAAACAAACCTTTGAGTACTGAGAAAGCAGGAGAAAGCTCTGCTGTTCCAGCAAATTAATCTTACTTAAGTTTAAAGGTTATGAATTAAATTCCTGCTTCTGAAATCTGAACTGAATATCAATATACTGGGATTAATTTTCAGTTATGTTTTGTAATGATCAAGGGTTAGATATTTAGTGGAAGGTAAATGGCAGGTTTCTGTGACTGATTTTATTTTTGAACAAAGTGTTTATGCTGAAACACAGCATTTCTAGGAAATGCTTAACTTGGGTCAGTTGACCTAGAAGAAATAATATAATCTTAACTCCTATTTTAATCAGATTAAAAGAAGTCTACAGCTCTTAGATTGAAAGCTTGCCAGTACCATTTTAAAATAAGTAGGATTAAGAAAATGTTCCATTACACATTTCAAAATAATGCAGAATTGATGAATGATTTACAATGAAAATTAAACAGTGAATCTCCTATATGGCTCATGTAGGAGCACTGAGTGATTTCTGCAAATATATGCGTGGTGAATTCCCTAGCTGCGTTCATAGCAGAGATGAGCACTTGTTTTCTTCTTCTGAAATCCTTTTTAGTGCCTGAGTGAGACTCTTAATGCTTTTAGAAACAAACCTCTCACTTTGATTTTCTTTAGGATGCATCTAAACCGCTGGAGGTGCTGCTGCTGGAGAAGAACCGCTCCTTGCAGTCTGAGAACGCCACGCTGCGTATCACAAATAGTGACCTGAGTGGTAGGTTGACACGATTTTCAGCTATTCTGGTTTGTTCGCTGTCTTGTAAAGGGAGGGAGGGCCGAGTGAGAGATGAATGTCTGAGCTAATGCATGGGAGAAAGACTAAGAGGCAACAGGAACACTGAATAATGTTTGATTTCTGGAGTTTTATAGGCTGGATAATAAAATAAAACTTGGAGACCTCAGAGAGGCTTTAAAGGTTAGGAAAGAGAGGCATTACAAGATGTACCAAGTGGTAGCGTTTGACGCTGTCTTCTGTTTTGGGAACAAATTCATCCGTGGCACCAGAAGTCTGTTCCCCCACACACAATGTTACGCAAAATGTTTGCATGTAGAACACAATAATCTTCCTGTCTGATACACTTAGATATACCACCAGCAGGTCAGTTTGGAAAAACAAAATACTTTCTTTTCAGCAAAGTGCGTTTGCCGTTTAGCTTTCCTAATGTGGGCTTTTTACATCTTGTGTGCACATTTTTTAAATGGCAAGTCATGGAATTTCCAGATACTTGAATGCTTATGGTTTTTGCAGCTGGAAGAAAGTTAAAAGTTGCCACTGGCCCTGGGATTACTGAATTCTGAAGCGTTTTATGACTTTAACTGAGTGATCTTGGTGCATCCACCTAACGGTGATTCCTTTATTCAAATTGGTTTGTTCCAAAATGTAAATGTTTGCTGCATTTGGGTTCAGTCAGGTCCAATGAGTAATGTCTTGAATGATAGACAACAAAGAGACTTGCTGTCTGTAACTGCATTTATTTTAAATGTATAATTGCACTTCATGTAATTGTTCTAGTTTTAATGTTTGTAAGGGGGATTCTCCAGGCTGCAACATACAAGAAAGGTGCAAACATGAAATGCATGTTGTTTGTTTTGGGGGCCTTGTTTGGCTTATTAAAATTTCAATTATGAAAAAAAAAAAAAAAAGAAAACAAACCAAAAACAAAATGAAAACAAAAATCCCACCGCCACTTCATTGGCCCTTGTAAACCTGCACTTTTTCCCTTTGCGGGGCAAACTTTGCATTTTTTTATCTTGGTTTTTCCCTCTTTGATCCCCCATAATGCATTATGTTTGACCTTCCTTGTAGGGTCAGCCAGGAGAAAAGGGAAAGACCAGCCTGAGAGTCAGCGTCCTGCAACCTTGCCGGCCTCCCCTCCTTCTCAGTTGCTCCGCAACGCGGGGGAGCAGGCTTCCAATACTAATGGTACACACCAGTTCTCACCAACGGGTTTAAGTCAAGACTTTTTCAGCTCATCCCTGGCGAGCCCCAGCTTACCCCTGGCCTCCACAGGAAAATTTGCACTAAACTCTCTCCTCCAGCGACAGCTAATGCAGTCCTTCTACTCCAAGGCAATGCAGGAAGCAGGAAGCACAAGCATGATTTTTTCAACAGGTCCTTACAGCACAAACTCCATATCTTCCCAAAGTCCATTACAACAAAGTCCGGACGTAAATGGCATGGCCCCATCTCCCAGCCAGTCAGAAAGTGCTGGGAGCATCTCTGAAGGCGAGGAGATAGACACAGCCGAAATTGCACGTCAGGTGAAAGAGCAATTGATCAAGCACAATATTGGACAGCGGATATTTGGACATTATGTGTTGGGACTGTCGCAAGGGTCTGTGAGTGAGATACTAGCCCGGCCAAAGCCATGGAATAAACTGACTGTGAGAGGCAAGGAGCCATTTCATAAGATGAAGCAGTTCCTCTCGGACGAGCAGAACATCTTGGCTCTTCGCAGCATCCAGGGTAGACAAAGAGGTAAGCGCTCGCCGGCCGAGGGTCTTGCCTTATTTTCTTGTTAGTTACAAATGTTAAAAATTGGAAGCTTGCCTGTACGGGGCCGTTTGTGCGTTGCTGCTGTTTTCACCCGAATCAGATGTCAGGTACAGAAAGTACAGCTTTCTAACTCTGCTTTTCAGCACTTAAGCAGGTTAGTATCTTTGCTTCTGCTTTTTTTAGCCGCTGACTTGTGTGTGTCAGCAGGGGCAAGCAGCAGGGACACTTACATCCCTCACTTCCCAATAGCTCCATGTCAGAGCTAAATACAGAGTGAAAAGGGTCAGTAGCTACTAAGGGTATCACCCCTCAGAAATATATGAAAATTTTTATTTGGGGTTGTTTATTGAGACCAGACTTGTGTTGTGTCTTGTGTGATTTTTTTTTTTCCCCAAAGTGTTTTGACAAGATATCATAGGTGATGCGTGAGATGAGTAATTAAAAAACAATCCTAATTTAAAGCAGCTTTGCATATTTAAGGCAGTGGTTTTAAGAAATAACATGCGTTTCATTGTGATTCATCTTAAGCGAAGACGGAGATTTACATTTAGAGAAACTGAAAAGTAAGTTGTTTACAGTCAAGAAATATTGGAAAGGACAGGCAGGATTTTCCTACATTTTGTTTAATTGAAAGTGCACACTGTTAGATTTATAATCTGTTCTTCCTTTTGATGATTGTACTTGAGGGGATTATCTGCCCATCTTTAACCTCTTCATTTTTGGTATCTCTAGACATTTATTTATATCTGTCTAATCTCCTTTCCGAACGTAGCTGTAATCTTTATTAACAAATCAGCCAGCCTTGCTTCTTCCAAAGTAGCCAGCTCCTCCAGCGCTCAGACAAAGGCTCGAGGGGGCGAGGACAGCTCGAACCCTCGCGTTCAGAGACAGGCTGCTAGCTTCTCATGTCACACAGCCCGTGATGTCAGAGCAACCATCCCCTGATTGTTTTGTTCTTACCAAACTTGTTTTTCAACAGAGAATCCAGGCCAGAACCTGAACAGACTATTTCAGGAAGTACCGAAACGAAGAAATGGGTCTGAAGGTACGTCACAGGCAGGTGTTTTTCTTTGCAGTCAATACCTAGGAAGTGGAGTGTGCTTTAGCTGTGTGTTTCCTTAAAACTGTGCAGTTTGATTCTGGCCTGGAATCTGATAGAAAAACAGACAGTAAGTATAAAACAAACCATGGGTTAGATGAACACTTTGCTTTTTCTAATTCTGCTGCTGCTGTACTAACGTAACCCTGTTTGGATACTTTTTCCACTCCCAACATCACTGCATACGCAGATCAAAAGAGATAAGTGATAGAAGTGGCTTTATAAAATCATCAGATCTATTGAAATGCTCTCTTTGCTATTTTTGTGATTTTGGAGGGAGAAAGTTGCACAATTACATATAATCTAACATCAATCAGATACAGCTTCTGCTCTAGATTTACTTCTTCTCGTGGGGCTTATGTTGACAAATACACTTTAATACGCTGTTAAATTAGTGTGATACTTACTTCAATATGGTGTATGCAAAAGACAACAAGATAAGTGAACATCAGATCAATAAATTATCACTGAAGAGGAAGTACAAACATTTCTCTTCATTATAGATCAGTTGCAGAATTTTTTTTTAGCGAGACAACATGAAGAAGAAAAAGCAAAAACAGGTACCCCAAAACTCTGTAGTTGTTTTGACCCCAGTCAGAAATTATCTAGCTCACTTACAAATGACAATCTCATAATGAAAAAAGCAGTTAAGTGCAGTAGCATTCACAGTCATAGTTTTCCCTCCTCTTCTTCCCCTTAGTGGTTAAAAAACACAAAACCAAACAAGCAAGTAATAGCTCTTAGCTGGAGAGTACTTCAAATGGTATCTGCACTTAAATGACTGTTTCTCTTAATGTATTAACCTCTAGAAAGTTAAAAATTATTTTTATCTAGTTACTTTTTAATTCTGTTTTGGGCTGAATGTATACTCATCCTACCTTGCCTAGCAGCTGATGCAATTGTTAAGGTGATTCCTGATCTTATGTTTTTAGCTGTCTTCCTTTCCCCTCTGGTTCTTTACCCTTCTGTTTCCTCTCCCCCTCCAAAACAAAGAAAAGGAAAAAAATAGACCTATATGTGTTATCCTGGACAAGGAATATCTGACCACCTAGTTCTTCCTCTGATGATGTCAGTGTTCGCATCGTGCCAGTGCAGCTAGCGGGCAGGCTTTTGCACAGCGAGGATATTTTTCTTTTATTATGTTAAGTATGTTCTTGGTGTTGTAAACGTTGGTAAAGGTCCTATGTAAACTTTCGTCAGGTCATGCTGGTGGTATATCAGTATATGCTGTCTGTCTTTGTGTTAAAAAAACAGCTAAACAAATAAAAGTTTTCCTGGTGTCATTAGTTTTGTTTTCCTCTTCAGGTAATATAACCACAAGAATCCGAACCACAGAGACTGGCTCTGATGAAGCCATCAAATCCATTCTCGAACAAGCCAAAAGGGAGCTGCAAGTACAGAAAACAGGTACGGTCTCATTTTGCCTCTTGCTCCTTTTATTTCAGAATTTAATTAAAACAATTACCATGAGCTTTCTGGTCAGGTAATTATATTCCTAAAACCTTGAGTGTAGGTTTGAAGAACTTTTTTTAGTGGTGTTATTTCTGTTTATAAGGCAGCCCAAGTTAAGGTTACACGTGTCACAGCTTGGCGGGGTCTCTGCTCAGTGCTCTGCCTGCTCTGCTCTGCCCTGCTTTCAGGGGAGCGACACTGTGAGATTTCTAAACACCTTCTTTCTCAAGTGCAGAGCTCTGCCGCATTTACACCACTCCAGACCTGCGGGCAGTCACTTTGCAGGACGTACCTACCAAATCCTTTCTTCTACCACTTTGCTCCTTGAAAAGGGAATGGCTCCTGCTTTCTCTTGTCTTCTGTCTAACTCAGGCCCCAGGGACACAACTGCATGGGAGAGGGAACGGAACGGCTTTGTCGGGGTGAAGGTCATGATCTAGCCAGCAATTACCAGTCATATAGTACCATCGTACTGTGGACATCATGTACTGAAATTATAATATAGGCAAACTCAGTTCTAACTTTTATTTGACTTTATTTTTGGATACGGAATGTATTTAGTGAATGAACTGGCAAATCCAAAAAGCATATCCGTTCCCAAAGCCATCATTAGTTTAACATCTTAGCCCGAGATAAGTTTAATTTCTCATTGTATGCTGTCATGTAGTTAACATTTCTGTCTAATCCATAGCCCTCCCAACTTTCCCGCACTGCTAAAGGGCTAATGCTGAAGTAGAGAGTACTGTGCATTACTTCTGTTTCATTTTCTAAAGTAAATACTGTTTCACAGTATAGGATAGTTGTCTTTTAAATGAAAACTAAGCTAATCTCATGGCAAAATATAAAAGACTAGTTAATACACGATTTGAATAATAAGACTTTATACAAGTAATGATTACATAGAGAAAAATGTGGGCTGTGTGCAGGAAACTGCAAGCATGTTGTTCAGTAGCATGTTTCAACTGAGAATCTCAGACTTCCTTTCAAATATTAATCCAGCCTCAAAACTCCCTATGAAACCAGTAGATAAAACAGAAGAGATGGTCCCACTGTCTTTTTTCCCATTCCTTAGTTTTTCACGTATTTTATAGTGTATGACAGGGAGGAATGTAGGGAGGCAAATTCAGAAATGTATTCAGATGAGGCATAATATTACTAGAATAATACACAGCATGTTTCAAATCCTATTTTACTTTGAGGCCTCTTCCTGCAGTGTATGGGTTCCCTGTTACTATCTAGTGCTTCACTTTCCCCATTCTTTGTAGAGTAGCTTTGAGAGGAATTGGTTTTCAAGCAGGGGGGACCTCAGTGGAGACTAACTTAAATGGAAACAGATGCCATTGCAAAAACCTCCTGGCTCTGCAGAGATAATTCTACACCCGCGTACCAATCTCTGCGCATCCCTGACTGCTGCAGCACAGCCACGCGAGTCCTGGTTCACCACTGAAATACTGCATTTAGGTGTTATGTCTTCTGAAGGCACCCATGGCTCCATTCTAGGTCTTTGGATAAGGCAGAGTGATGGCCAGGCATCAGCCTGATTTTTGTAGAGCTGTTGATTTCAGTGGTTGGGACCAAGGAACAAGAAAAAACAGGAAGCAGGAGCATATTTAACTTGTTAAATGAAATAATGAAGTCTCTTACTGAAGTTCTTGCTTTGTTGTAATTTGTGTGTTATATTTCTGGAGTTAAAAGGACTCACCTTATTTATATTGTAAGAGGGTATTAATAGTCTGTCCAGGTGAATGCAGCTGTGTTCAGTTTTGAGTGTGTGTTACGATTCATTTGTGGAGATAGAGAGACATGAAAGGTTAAATAACTTTGTAAATAGAACTATAAAATGTTATTGAGCACTTGGGGTGGGGGAGGAAGAGGAGAAGGCTTGATTTTCAAAGGCATTTATTTGAAAATTTTTACAATGGTGGAAAACATGCAAGTAGTATTAGACTTCTGCAGTTGAGTCTGTGCGTGCAGATGTCCAGCACTTTGGCAACTATAAAAATTTTCCAGTGAAGAACTTTGGAAATCTTACCTTATTTTGAAAAGTGCAAATCTTTGCTTAGTGAAAACTCCTCCCTCCCATCCAGAAATGTATTGCAGCCCTTTTTCTGACAGGGAAATATTTACAGTAGCACGTGTTGAATATAAAGCATATTCCTCTGTTGCATTTAGTCTTTTGGTTGTTTTTCATAGCTGAGCCGGCTCAGCCGCCTTCTGCATCTAGCAGTGGCAATTCTGATGATGCTATTCGATCCATTCTGCAACAAGCCCGACGCGAAATGGAGGCACAGCAGGCTGCCCTTGAACCTGCCTTAAAAACACCACCTTTATCTCAAGCTGACATTTCTATCCTGTCCCCCAAACTAGTATCTACACCTGCAATGTCTTCGGTTTCCAGCTATTCTCCTTTGGCCATATCCCTGAAGAAACATTCATCTGTCACTGATTCCAGTATCTCTGCCTTGCAGAACCTCTCTGGGCTCAAAAAGGAGCCTCAGGAGGCACCTGTTTTAGAGCTTCATGGAATAAGTGATTCTGCCCAGGGTATGTTGAGGCATGTTAAAAATGAGTTGGGACGTGGTGGTGTTTGGAAGGACCATTGGTGGAATACTGTGCAGCATGAGAGAAGAAATACAGCTCTTCCTGAAGATATAAAAGTTGAGGAAGCCAGTGGTGGAAAAGAAAAGGTCAGCAATCAGACTAGGCCAGATCGTAGCCAGCTCCAAGGACCATCATCTTTGGAAAGAGTGGCCAAACGCTGAATCTCCGTACTCCCAGAGTTCTGAATTGAGCATGACTGGGGCAAGTCGCAGTGAGACACCACAAAATAGCCCCCTCCCTTCATCCCCTATCGTGTCTTTGTCAAAGCCATCCAAACCTTCAGTTCCTCCACTGACACCTGAGCAGTATGAGATTTATATGTACCAGGAAGTGGATACGATAGAGCTAACGCGGCAGGTCAAAGAAAAGCTAGCAAAGAATGGCATCTGCCAAAGGATCTTTGGGGAAAAGGTAAAGAACTGGTTATATCTTGTTACACCAGTATTGTGAATGTGCATTGTGCTCCTTACGTTGGTACGGTGCTCAGTTTAACAGAGGGGGATATGCCACATATGTCTTACGGAAAAATGTTTTTGCTTCGTATGTTAACTATGTAAAAAAACAAGATCACAAAGGAAAGTACTAGTTTTCCTGTATTTTCTGATTTGCGTAGGTTTTTATAAAAAGATTGGCTTCAGCCACTAGTAATTAGAAATGGGGCCCTCAAGTTTAGAAGCATTGAAAGCTGGAGCAAACATTATTGAGACTCGATATTTCATGCTTAATGTAATGAATTCATGGAATATTTGAGTAATACCATTGTCATGACTGGAGAGTCTTAAATTTGTTATAAGTGAAGATTATGGACACAAGAGCATTTTTCCTTTTTTTTAATATTTGGAAATGCGCACAAGGGTATTTAAACAAACACACGGAAAATCCCCTACCTCTCCTTAGTCTTAAGTCAGGAATTCACAGTCATTTCTTACACCTGGTGCTTGGTATCTTAGTGTGCTTTCAGACATTTTTAAGCAATGTTTGATTACAGATCTGCAGTGCACGATAAGGCTTTCTGAAGTTCTCACGTTGTGGACCCTAAGCATTGAACACGTGGGATTTCGGGGGGGTCCCCAACCACCAGAACATACTTCCCAGGCTATAAGTGGTGGACATCTGGTGTTTCTTCTTCCTATAAAGAACTGAATCAATGTAATAGTATAATAGGAGCTGGCATCACGCTATTACCTTTTTACTAAGATGTAAAATGAAAAGCCTGACCTCTTGGGGTCATTAAAGATCCCATGGCAGCTTTCATTAAGTATGATTTTTAACCCCTGTACCTGTGCTGAATTCCAGGCAAGTAATTGCATTCTGCCTGTCTGAAATTCCCCCTTTGCTGCAGTCGGCTGTATTCTTAAATATTTACTTATGTGGAGCAGCCTTTACTACAGGTGAAAACACACATCGTTATAATTCATACCAAAAAAATATCAACCAAATATAGGCCTAGTCTCAAAAGTCCCAATTATTTTTGTTTGAGAACAAAATACATGCCAATCATTTCCTGATTTATCTGCCTGTGTGTGCCTGGACTCTGTGGTTTTCCTGCTAGAACTGATGAAACTATTTGACACAAAATATGAAAAGCATGCAAATCTTGTGCCATCCTTTTGCCGTTTGTGCTGCTGCTCCGTTCCTGCAGGAAAAAAACCCATGCTCCAGAAGGAAACCATGGCAGGAGAAAAGCATTTCCATCAATTACCTACAGATGTAGTTTTGCAGTTTTACTAATTGTCCATACAAAAACAATTTGAGTGATATAGCAGTAAAGGAAACCAAAATGACTTAAATTACCCCCTTCCACATCAAATGTGTTAACGTGCCATTCTTGGTTGCTTCACTTCAGGTATTGGGGCTGTCCCAAGGAAGTGTCAGTGACATGCTCTCCAGGCCAAAGCCATGGAGTAAATTGACCCAAAAAGGCCGAGAACCATTTATTCGTATGCAGCTCTGGTTGAATGGTGAGCTGGGACAGTGTGTCCTGCCTGCACAAGGGCAGCAACAAGGACAAGGTAATTAAAATTCCACTATGTTGTTTGAGTTGAGGAGGAGGAAATCTTTTTCTTTTTTTCTTTACTGGAAGTGGCAGCGTCCACCCTCTCAGCCCAGCCAGTCCCTAGGGGCAAACGTGCTGGGAATGTTTACGAACGAAGCACTCGTTTATGCTTAATTGATAAGCACCAGTTATCAAGTTCCTAATTAGGATGATATTATCTAGGCATGAATATGATACATAATTCAAAAAATTTTGGCCAAAGAGCTGGAAAATCTTGTGTGCTGTTTTCTTAGGGTTGCATAGGGGATTTTTATTGTTCCTAGGAGAATATTGATTGCTTTCTCAGGAGGTGAGCTAGAAGAAATAAGCTTTAGAGGGGGAGTGCTGTGTTGCAATTACGCTTTTATTGTGGCTCTCTCTTATCCTAATACCTATTGATACAGAAAGGCCAGACTAGAGTTTGGCCTCAGTTGTACCCTTATAATGCCACTGACTTAAATGAGCAGCGTGCCCTTGCCGAGATAAGCGGTTTGCTATTTGTTGAGCCTGCTTACTGTTTAGTTTGTGGTTTGGCATCTCCTTTTATTGTTCCCTGATTTTCCTCTCCTCTCTTATCTAGTCCTTCACTCTGTGACATCATTACAGGATTCCCTACAGCAGGGATGTGCAAGCTCAGGTAATCAGCTGGTTTCAATGATTTGCTCTGAAATAATTCTCTGTGCTTTTGTTACGTTTCTTTTGCTTTGATGCCGAGAGGTTTCTCGTGTTTTGTTGTATCATACAGGAGACCCTTCAATTTTTTTATTAACACAGTTAATTCCTCATTCTCTCCTTGTTGCTATGGCAGATGTAGGGAGTACACATATTTAGCTGCATATATTAGGTAAAGAGACTCTGTCTGATCTTAGAGATCATTGGCTCTGTAGGGGTTTTTTTTACCATAGTTCAGCTTATCAACTTGACATGTGACAATGGCTGTAAAACAAGCTTTTCGTTTGTAATGTGATCTACATACTCCAGCTGCCTTACTCGCTGGCATATTTTTTTTTCCACTTTCATTTGCACAAAATCTGCTTTGTTAATTTGAAGGTGGGGAAAAGACCACGTTATGTCTTTCTTTCTCAAGCTTCATTAAATATTCCGAGCCGACCTTTTTTTCTCCCTCCCTTTTCCATTTGCAAAAAAGCAGATGCAGCAAAGATGAGTGTCAAAGAGAAGTGAATTGCTAAAGGTTTTATAAGATGGCCACAGTATAGGAAGGAGGCTGGAACAGAACAGCTGTGTTCCTGCTGTTGGATACCAAACTCTACCCACACAGACTTTTTACCCATGATATGCTTAACTGACATAAACCACTTGGGCTGTTTTTGTACTCTAGAAAAATACTTGTGCCCTGCTCTGTACTTACAGCCAGTGCCCTGTATGGGAGAATTATTGCATTTCAGGATACAGAGAAGGATGGGTTGTGCTCTTCTTTCACCTTTCTGCCATTCTGAAACACTCTTCTTTTTCTGGAGCTTGCTGGGTTTGTTCTGAATATCCCAACCAAGCTGCTTTTTCTCTCTACTGGGAAACTATTTTGCATTCTAAAAGATTTTACTAGAAGAAAATCTGTGATGATATGCAGTCCACGTTTTCCTTAAGAAGAACAGTTGAAAATAAATAGATAAAAGCAAAAAAAAAAATAATGCCCCTGGTAAAAACAAGCCATGAAAACAAAACCAAAATGGGAAAAAATTATTTGCAATCATAGGGCTATTGTTACTTATAGCCAAGCATTTAGTGAACATGGAAATTTCCTGCTACGTTTTATACGCTGCTGTTCATTAAAATCGTGCCATTGACTACTTTTTTGTAGCATCAATACTATGCAAGAGTAAGTGTTACAGTTATAAATGCCTAAGACAGCATGGAAAATATGAGTAATTAATTGTAGCCATTTTAAGAGGAATTTGAAATCAGAGGAGCTGGGAAAAGGCTGCATTGTTATTGCTAATCATCATATTTATGACTAACTGTAATTATAAAAGATTGAAAGACAAGCCCATAGTATTAAAATCCAACCACCTTATGGATTCCCATGAGGATTGCTGGTAGCTGAAAGTGATTTCCTTCAGGAAGTTCAGTTTTGCTGCCGTGATATTTTGCTCCCCTCCCACACTCCCAAATCTCGTTTGTCAGTTCCTGCCCTTGAGCTAATATTTTGTGAGGCGACACGTTCCTATCAGCTAATAAAATCATATTATTGATGATCGCCCTCCTTCTTTCCTTAAAGCAGACTTACAAATGAGAAAATGGGCTCGCGCCCTTTTCTTCCTCCTTTCCGATGATTAAAAATAAAACTGTTGTACAAGACGTTCTTTTCTTGGTGCCTTTCTCTGTGTAAAGGAATAAGGAAGGTTGTGACACCACGCAGAACAAAAGAGCGAAACCAAGTTATTTGAATGAGGAAGGGCAGTTTGGTAATTTTCTTTTATTAGCAGCTGTTCTGTAATTAAAAGCGCAGCAAACAGTTTGGAAAAGGTAATAATAATTATGCATTTGTGAAAGATCCTCCACTCCAGGGCAGGAAAAAAAAAAGACAGCTCCAATTTTCTGTTCTTCTGAGACATTTCCCAGGAAAATCAAGGCAGAAAAGGTTGCATACTTGTAATTTTAAAACAGAAATTAATCAGAACAATTTTGAAACGAGAAAAGGTCTGGAGCCTCTTCCATGTAATATAATTGGCTTGGAACTTGTTGAATGCATGAAGGGAAAGAAGTGAAATTAAACTAATACATTCAGTGGCTCCTGAGTGCTTTGCCAAGAAGGTCTTCAGTGTACAGAGTGTCAACATGCATAGTAACGTCTCAAACTTTTATTAGCTGTGAGTATTTTCATTACCGTTTGGCACTGTTCTATCAAACTAGCAAGATTTTTCTGGATTTCTGACTTAGTTAGTTACACTTCTGGATCATAAGGTTTTGATTAACACCTCATTTATGAAAATCTGTTCTTTTGTCCAGTAATTTTCCATTGTCACACGTGGACAGATGGACCCATCAGTCTTTTCCATGTTGGAATGAATGGATAAGCATTTTATATATACATATATGTGTGTGTGTATATATATATTTTTTTTGAGATAGCAAAGAGAAGCAAGGCTTTATGTTCTTCTTTGAAAGCTATATTTATGAATTCTGAAAAAACACAGTCTATACCACAATTACAACCAGGTATATATCTGTATTTTGTGCCTGTAACCTTTCATCAAGGCTTTGGTGATTTTGTGCCAGTTTCAGTGAATGTGTTTTACATAAAAATGGTGTCTGTACCCTTGGTGGTCAAAAATAGTATTGCTGTGCCTTTTCTAACATTTTTTCTGTGTATTTCTTTCCACCTAAATGCTCTAATGCCCTTGGGTAAATCTGCCTTTTTAATGATTTATGTGTCAAAAGCATGGACCAAATCACATGGAAAAAAAAGTTGAATTAGTGTCACCCAACTGCATCAGCATTTTTTCATGATGAATTTGGCCCTTATTTAGTTGCATCACCAGTGATCAGAGCTGGGTTGGGTTTGGACAGTAGCCATGTGCCAGAAGAAGGTTTATGTGCTTGGATATTTTTCTAAATACTTGTACTGTATGTAGCTCTTACTAGTTTGTTTTATTTTGGGGTCTTATGTCTTTACTGAGCATCTATATGACATTAAGACAAAGTTTCTTTTTTGGTGCTGTTGATTTCATAGCTACTCCCAGGAAAGCTGAATTTTTATTCACTTTTGTATTTATCCTCTGTGAAGGGCATACATATACTCTCTCTATACTACATTAAAGACTTGCAAATACTCAGTGGGAAAAAGACGTGCCTTTTTGGTATGTGTTTCTGTAAGGGTCGTCTTATGACCTAATGTGGAAATCTTCATTTGCCGATACAGCTGCGGGTGATCTCAGGGGATTTTGAATTTCCCTTTTGTTTGTCTTCCTTTCTGGGTATCATCCATCATTCCTAACCTCATGCTGCTTAGCAATAGTAACACTCATGGGAGCTGAAGAAAGGATTATAGCAGCATAAAATGGGGAGCTAATCAGAGCTTGTTTCAAAATCAGAATCTAGCTTGAGATAATTGCATATTATCTGGTGATTTAAAAACCCAAGATCTACTGTATTTAGATCAACTAAAATATGCATGAAAGCTTTATTTTCAAAATAAAACATTTGTAACAACAGGGAGATTACGTCTCATCATCCCTTGGGAAAGAAAATCTGAAAAAAAGATCAAAATGCAAACTATGGTTTACGGTAGTTACGATATTAACAGACATATTGTGGAATGATGACAAACCCAGGTACCCATTATATTTTTATTTATGTAATACATATTCCTGTAATATTTTTCAGTACAGAAGCTGCTGAGCCGGCAGGTAGTTAACTGTGTACTGGGTAGATCTTCCCGTTTACCTAATAACAGAAGGATGCTGTCACATTGCCTACTCCGAGAGAAACAAAGTGGGGAAAGGGTGTATTTCAGGCTCGCAATCCATATTCAGGGTTACCATCCTGATGCACTTACGGGAAGAGCTCAGTAGCCACATGGTGGCAATGGAGACGCTCTTACCCCCCCATTTCGTCATGGTTCAGGATTATTTCTTTCATTGTGCTGTTTTGTTTTGGACGGGCAGAGCTGTCCGCGGTGGTGCTCCAGAGCACGATTGGGATTAGCACGTGGAGAGCTGAATCCTTAGTACCTTGAGATCGCACAAGTGATCAGTCCAGTGATGCTGACAGATCTTCCCAAATTTGAGCTAGTTTTTGTTGTTGAATCAAAAAGGAGAGAGATTGTTCTGCAGTCATTTGCTGGCATTTCAGATCAATAAAATTGTATGACGTGAAATGTTTGTGGTTAATGTAGTCTATAAAATGGAAGAGAAGGGAGATCGCATGGCTTTTAATAGCTGAGTAGTTGGACTCCAAGAATTTCTTGCATAGATGGTTTATGTTTGATGACCAATTTTTGAGTCTTTGTATTTGGTT